AGCAAGACTTTCCTGTGACACTCATGTGACCAATTAACTTCAGGCATTACATACATATACATGATATGTACACAGTTTTTATGCTTTCCTCAGCATAACAGTGGTCGTTGCACACATAGAAGAAAGAAATCCCATCTAGAGATAGAAAAAAGAGAATGACACAGTGGGGGAACTTTTATTCTTATATTATTTACTCATGTGTCATGAATAAACACAGCATTCATGAGAACTATCTTTTTTTTTCTTTTTTTTAATTTAACTTTTATTAATTACACTTTATTCATTTTGTATCCTTCCATAAGCCCCTCCCTATTCCCTTCCAGGTCCCACCCTCCCCCCTCCTTTCTGCATGCATGCCCCACCCCATGTTCACTGATAGGGGAGGTCTTCCTCTCCTTCTTTCTGATCTTAGTCTATCACTTCTCATCAGAAGTGGCTGCATTGTCAGGGTTCTAGGTTATCTCCATGAATAGTCCTTGGTTGGAGTATGAGTCTCTGGGAAGTTCTCTGTGTTCAAATTTTCTTGTTCTGTTGCTTTCCTTGTGAAGTTCCTGTCGTCTCCAGCTCTTACTATTTCCCACTTCTTTTTTTTTGTTTTTGTTTTTGTTTTTTTGTTGTTGTTGTTGTTTTATCATTTGTTTTATTTATTTTATTTTATTTTTATTTTTAGTTACATTTTGTTAACTCTGTGTCCCAGCTGTATTCCCGCTCCCTCATTCCCTCCCCAACCCCACACTCCCTCCGTGGTCTACTCCCTGCCCCTTTCCAAGTCTACTGATAGGGGAGGACCTCCTCCCCTTTCATTTGACCCTGTTTTATCAGGTATCTTCAGGGCTGGCTGCAAAGTCCTCCTCTGTAGCCTAACAGACTGCTCCTCCCCTGGGGGGGGGGGTGTCAAACAGCCTGCCCTTGAGATCCTGTTAGAAATAGTCCGTGTTCCCCTTACTTTGGAAAACTACTTGGTTACTGAGCTACCACGGGCCACATCCGAGCAGAATTTCTAGGTTATATCCATAGATGGTCCTTGGTTGAGTGTCAGTCTCAGAAAAGACCCTGTGCCCGGATATATTTGGTCCTTGTAGAGCTCCTATCCTTTCCATATCATACTAACTTCCCTTCTTTCATATGATTCCCTGCACTCTGCCAAGGGTTTGGTTATGAGTCTTAGTGTCTGCTTTGAAACACTGCTAGGTAGAGTCTTTCAGATGCCTTTGGTGATAGACTCCTGTCATACGTTCAATGCACATCCCATTTGTCTTTCTAAATGAGAATTAATCACCTTCGCCTGTGTCCACTTTCTTGATTATCTTCTTTAAGTGTGTAGATTTCATTATGTCTACAAGATATTTCCCACTTCTTACATAAAATTCCATTCACTCCTCCAGTCATTTGGTCATCAGGCTTAGCATCCACTTTCACAGTCTGCATGGCAGAGGCTTTCAGAGGCCCTCTGTGGCAGGTTCTGAGGCATGAGAACTATCTTAATTAACTAAAGGCATAGAGGGTTTCTCTCTTTTTCTTTATCAGAGGGGAAGGAGATTTCAGGAGACAGCAGCTGAATGGGACAAGATGTAACTTAATTTCAAATACAATCAATGTTTTGGTATATATGAAATTCACTTTTTACTTGTGTTCAGTATACATTGAAGTAACAATAGCGTAAATATGAATTACAATAAGTAATGAAAGGGTAGGAGAAAACAAAAATGGCATCCAGCCAAGAGAGCTCCACAAAAATCCTGAACTACAACAGTGTAGTGAAGAATGAGGACAAAAGGGAGGAAGATGACACTGACACTGAGGTGTCAGAGGAACACATAGCTGTGTTTCTGCAGTGACAGTCTGGGTCTCAGTTTGAAAACAATGAGGAGTCTATGCAGAGAAAAGCATTATAGAAGGAGGTTCTGTCAGATATAGGGTTGATGAGGATCCTTTCCCAGTCTGCAGGCTGTAGTTTTGTTCTGATGGCAGTGACCTTTACTTTACGGAAGCTTTCATTTTCATGAGGTTCCATTTATTGATTGTGGATCTTAGAGTCTGCTGTTAGTGTTCTGTGCAGGAAATTGTCTCCTGTGCTAATGAGTTCAAGGCTCTTCCCCAATTTTTCTTCTAACAGGTTTACTGTGTCTGGTTTTATGTTGAAGTCTTTGATCCACTTAGAGGTTAGTTGTGTGCAGAGTGATAAATATGGATCTATATGTATTTTTCTACATGTAGACCTACAGTTAGACTAGCACCACTCATTGACAATGCTTTCTCTTTTCCATTGATGGTTTTGGCATCTTTGTCAATAATCAATTATCCATAGGTATGTGAGTTTATTTCTGGGTTTTTGAATCAATTCCAATGATCCACCATTCTGTTTCTAGGCAAGTACCATGCAGTTTTTACTACTATTGCTCTTTAGTACAGATTGAGATCAGGGATAAAGATACCTCCAGACGATCTGTTGTTGTACAAAATAGTTTTAGCAAATCTGGGTTTTTTATTTTTCCATACAAAATTGAGAATTTGTCTTTCAAGTTCTGTAAATAATTGTGTTGGTATGTTGATAGGAATGCAATGAATCTGCAAATTGCTTTGACAGGATGTCCATTTTCACTATGTTAATCCTACTGATCCATGAGCATAGGAGATCTTTTGGACTTCTGATAGCTTCTTCAGTTTCTTTCTTCAGAGAATTGACGTTTTTTTCAAAAAAGTCTTTCATTTGCTTGGTTAGATTCACACCAACAACCCTATATCTAACAAAGAGCTAACTAATATCCAGAATTTATAAAAACCTCAAGAAGTTACACAGCAACAAATCAAGTAATCCAACTAAAAAATGGGGTGCAGAGATAAACAGGGAATTCTCAATAGAAGTATATTGAATGGCAGAAAAACAAAGAAATTCTCAAAATCCTTAGACTTCAGGGAAATGCTAATTAAAATGACCCTGAGATTTCACTTACATACATCAGAATGGCTAAGATCAAAACTTCAAGTGATCTGGAAATCAATCTGGTGCTTTCTCAGGCAATTAGGAATAGTGTTTCCTCAACATCCAGCTCTACCATTCTTAGGCATATATCCAAAAGAGGCTCAAGTACACAACAAGGAAATTTGCTCAGCCATGATTTCAGCAGCTTTATTGTAATAGCCAGAATCTGGAAAGAGCCCAGATGGCCCTCAAATGAGGAATGGATACAGAAATTGTGGTACATCCACACAATGAAATATTATTACTCAGCAATAAAAAACAAGAAAATCATGAAATTTGCAAGTAAATGGTGGGAACTGGAAAAGATCATCCTGAGTGAGGTATCCCAGAATCAAAAAGACACACAGGGTATATGCTCACTCATAAGTGGATATTAGATATATAATATAGGATAAACCTACTAAAATCTGTACACCTAAAGAAACTAATCAAGAAGGAGGACTCTGGCTAAAATGCTCAACACCCTTTCAAAAAGGCAAAGAGGCTGGACATCAGAAGAAGGAGAAAACAGGGAACAGTACAGGAGCCTCCACAGAGGGCCTCTGTAAGGCTCTACCCTGCAGAGTATCAAAGCCGTTGTTAAGACTTATGGCCAGCGTTTGGGTAGAATAGAGGGAATCTTTTTTTTTTTCAGATCAAAGTTGCCATTTATTCAGTGAATGTTAAATGTTAAAACTTTTCACATGAAATATCCATGATATAATAACAAAGAAACAACTTGCATCACATCATTCATTCTTTTTTTTTTTTTGCCTTCTGAGACACAGTCTCATGTAGCCCAGGCTGACATAAAACTTGCTATCATAGTTGATGCTGGCATTGAATTCCTGATGCTCCCAAGTGCTGACTTGTAGTCATACATCACCACACCTGGAGGTCTATATAAACAGTCTTTCATTTCTCTTCTGTGAGTCAAGGAATGTTTTGTTTTGGTGTTAGGTCCAGTGAATGAGATTTATAATTCACAAAGCTGTTGGGTTTTTTTCCAGCCCCAAACATACTTTTTATTTTTATTTTTAGTTGAATTTTATTAATTCTGTATCCTGCTCCCTCATTTCCTCTCAATCCCATCCTCCCTCATCTCCTCCGTGCCCCTTTCCAAGTCCACTGATAGGGGAGGACCTCCTCCCCATATGATGTGGAGAGGTTAGGATCTCCACAAGGACCAAATATATCTGGGCACAGGGGTCCCATATGAGACTGTTTCTCCAACCAAGGACTATGTATGGATATAACCTAGAACCTAGGCTCGGAGTAGCCCATGGTAGCTCAGTAACCAAGTGGGTTTTCCTAGTAAGGGGAACAGGGACTATTTCTGACATGAACTCAATGGCAGGTTCTTTGACCTCCCAACCCCGCAAGGGAGGAGCAGCCCTGCTAGGCCACAGAGGAAGGACTTTACAGCCAGTCCTGAAGATACCTGATAAAACAAGAGGGAATCTTATGAAAGAAGTGGGAAATAGTAAGACCAGGAGAGGGGACAGGAGCTTCACAAGGAGAGCAATAGAACCAAAAAATCTGGGCCCAGGTGTCTTTTTTGAGACTGATACTCCAATTAAGAAACGTGCATGGAGATAACCCCAAACCCCTGAGCTGATGTAGCTCATGGAACCTCAGTGTCCAAGTGGGTTAGTTAGTAAGGGGAACAGGGACTGTCTCTGACATGAACTCAGTGGCAGGCTCTGTGATCATCCTTCGCTGAGGTGGGAACAGCCTTACCAGGCCACAGAGGAAGACAATGCAGCCAGTCTTGAAGAGACCCCATAGGCTAGGGTCAGATGGAAGGGGAGGAGGGCAGCCCCATTAGTGGACTGGGGGAGGAACAAGGGACAAGAAGCAGGAAGAAGCATGGGGTTGAGAGGGGCTGAGAGAGGGGTCCTACAGCTGGCATACAAATTAAATAAATTGTAATTAATTAAAAAATAAAAATAATAAAACGAGGTTCTTCTTACCAGGGTCTGCTTCATACTCACATTCCCCAGGTACTCCTGGACCTAAAATGCATTTATAATGCTGGGAGTGCACCTTCTTCATTCACTGTGTAGCCTTGTGTTGTGACAAACATGCCACTTCTCTCCTATTCTTACACATCTCTGTGTGACTAACCAGCTAAAGTCCAGGAAGAGATTGACCGTGTGGTTGGCCAACACCGCAGGCCCTGCATGCAAGACAGGAGTCACATGCCCTACACGGATGCCATGATTCACGAGGTCCAGAGATTCATTGACCTCGTCCCCAACAACGTTCCCCATGCAGTGACCTGTGACATTAAATTTAGGAACTACTTCATCCCCAAGGTAAGCTTGTCTCTCCTCTGCTGTTCCTCTGTGTTCTCCATGCTGCCAGGTTCACAGTGAGGTTCCAGTCCTGAGTCACATTCTGCTGAGGGCAGCTTCTGCTGTTTCATGAACGGGAGGGGCTCTTCCCCAAGTAGGGACAGGGGAAGGACAGCTCTGCATTTGCTGAGCCTTCCAAATCCTGTTCAGAGAAGCTCAGGTATTCCTGTGGGAATGTGTCAACCCTTTGTCAATTTCCCAAAACTCTTTTCATGAATGTCTACCATGTTGAAAGTAAATCTGGAGATAACTGGAGAAATCCTGAATCCTTTGACTCATCACTAACCTCAGACTCATTATTATTATTGTTATTATTATTATTATTATTATTATTATTTTATTTTGCTTTGCTTTTATTGTGATGTTTTCATTCTAGCAATGCAGCTTTGAAATACTTTCTTGGAAATTTCTTAAATAGCAATCTTCTCATATTATGATTTTTTTTTGTTCCTGTGACCTTTTTTTTAACCTGGTTTATGAAAATAATTGACTTCACAAATTTATTTGATTTCAATCATGCTAATTTTAGTACTTACTGGTAATGATTCGTCTGTGAATGTATGTGTATCTCTGGTATTATCTGGATTAGTGCATTTGTATATACTTTTCCAGTCCTGGAGTATTAATTTGTGTTCATGATGTCCTTCCATGATTTGAAAAATTCCAGGATATGATTGAATGGAACTAATGGCAATGGGCACTTACTTGTTTTAGTCCTGAGAAACACAAAGGAGTACAACTTTAATACTTACTTGTCAAGTTTGATATCTTTTTTCTCATTTTTAATTTTTTAAAATTTATTACTTAATTTGTTGCTTTTTAACTTCTTTAGTTCTTTATAAATACTGGATATTAGCCCTCTGTCAGATATAGGGTTAGTGAAGATCCTTTCCCAATCTGTAGGTAGTCGTTTTGTTCTGACGACAGTGTCCTTTGCTTTACAGAAGCTTTTCAGTTTCATGAGGTCCCATTTATTGATCGCTGCTCTTAGAGTCTGTGCTGTTGGTGTTCTGTTCATGAGGAGATTGCAGGGAATCTTATGAAAGAAGTGGGAGTTAATAAGACTGGGAGGGGATAGGAGCTCCACAAGGAGAGCAACAGATCCAAAAAATCTGGGCACATGGGTCTTCACTGAGACTGATAGTCCAACCAAGTAGCCTGCATGGAGATAACCCAGAACCCCTGCACAGATGTAGCCCATGGCAGTTCAGTCTCCTAGTGGGTTCCATAGCAATGGGAACAGGGACTGTCTCTGAGATGAACTGATTGGCCTGCTCTTTGTTCACCTCCCCCTGAGGGGGAGCAGCCTTACCAGGCCACAGAGGAAGACAATGCAGGCACTCCTGAAGAGATCTAACAGACTAGGATCAGAAGGAAGGAAAAGAAGATCTCTCCTACCAGTGGACTTGGGGAGGAGCATGTGTGGAGAAGGAAGAGGAAGGAAGGAATAGGGAGAGGAGGAGAGAGGGAACTAAAGGAGGGGGATACAAAGTAAAGTGTAATTAATAAACAAATTAAAATAAAAAGTAAAAATAAAATGTATTTATTTTTTATTAATTACAGTTTATTCACTTTATTGTCCCCTCCTTCATCACTTCCCAATATCACCCTCTTTCTATCTTCTCCACCCATGTCTCTCCCCCAGTCCACTGATAGGGGAGGTCCTCTGCCTCTTCCATCTGATCCTAGCCTGTCAGGTTTCATCAGGAGTGGCTGCATTGTCTTCCTCATCTGAAGATTTGGAAAGAGTTATAGATAAAGGCTAGGAACACTTGGCATGAATTTGACCAAGAAAACATGCACTTTCTTTTCAGATTCTGCACCCATTTTAATGATTTTATATATTAATTATATTTTATCAGTGAATGTACGTATTATACACATATGTATTCATTTAGATTTACTTGGCCACACATTTGAGTTCATGACTTCTCTGTTTTAAAAGCTTTTTTTCTTTTATAAAATTTACAATTTATATATGGGTACAATGTATCTTGATTATATCAAGTCCCCCAGCCTTGCTTGCAACACGCTGCCAGGACACATTAATTACATTTACCTTCCAATGTTACATTTTACATTCTTTTATAGAATCCATTGAGTCCAGAGAGTTTTCTCATATGTACATGGGTGTGGGTCATTCGTTGGAGCATGGGGAACTTACCAATTGCCACACACCCAAAGGAAAGTAACCCTTTGTTGAGCTTCTTTGGTAGGGGTAGGTTCTCCAGAACACTTCCACAATCTATGTTGGGATTTTACTTGGATCAATCTTGTGTTGACCTCGTGTACATGAGCGCAGCTGCTGTGAATCCAGGTCTGCAGCAGCTATGTGCTATCTATGGGACGTCATTTCACACTACCTTTTCTTGTTTCATACATTCCTTTTGCTCACTCTTTCTTGATGTTCCTTGAGGATTGACAATATGGTTGAGCATACACCCCTTACTTCTTTTTTCCCCTACTGTTCTCTATCCATGCTTAAACCTTTAGTTCCTAGTATCATCTCCCTGTTCTTTGATATCACACATGTTCTATTTTCCTCCTTTATATATATATATATATATTTTTTTTAACCTGGACTGCAAAACCACAGGTTCCCACACAGCTTCTTCATGTACAATGCATTTTGTTTAAGCCTTCATCTTGCTGCTCACTTCCCCCATTCATATCATTCCACTACCCATTGGATACTGCCCCGCAGTGTTCTCTTTCTACTTTCATTTCACCCATATTCTACTACCTGCCCCAATGCATCCTCCACTGACAGTCATCTGTGGTTAACTTCCTAGATCCACATAAACCCCAAGTTAAATACAGAAAACATACAAATGGTTTAAGCTAATACTCTCAAATGAGAAAAGAATTGCAGCATTTGTTTCTTTGATCTGGGTGACCTCACTAGATATAATTTTCTGCTCATGAGTAAAACAAGACTTTACATCATGTATGTTGAACCATCCCTGCATTTCTGGAATTAAACCAGCTTGGTTGTGATGAATGGTATTTTTGATATGGTCTTGAATTCAACTTTCCAGTACTGACTTCAAATTGCACTTAAGGCAATTTAACAACCACTGTGACTGACCCACACTCTAATCCCCTCATACCCATGTTCCCTAAATGCTCTTTCAGTTAGAAATGTTCCTGCTCTTCTTTTAGGCAAACCTTTCTATGGATCAGAACCCTGGACTATGATGTTTTTCTTAGGGGCCACCATTACTTTAAAATCTTTCTCTGTGTGTTTTTCCAGGGGACAACGGTAATGACATCACTCTCATCCGTGCTGCATGACAGCAAGGAATTCCCCAACCCAGAGACATTTGACCCTGGCCACTTTCTAGATGGGAATGGAAACTTTAAGAAAAGTGACTACTTCATGCCTTTCTCAGAAGGTAATAAAACTCATTACCTTGATTCCAGTTGCATGCAGATTTGTGGGGATTTCCACAATGATTCCATAGGGGGCTGATAGATTTGCAGTTTGTGCAGGACCAGGAGTGTGACTTCCACGGCTCATGCTATGTCCGTGGTGAGGATCACCCTCCTTGTCAGACCTTGAAATTGAGGCTTTTGATTGTTCATCCATTGTTCAAAATAGAGGAAGCCAGAGTGTAGGAAATTTGTGTTCTTCCTTTAGATCCATCACAGAGGTACCAAAGATACCATCCTAGAAACCAAACTTCATTTCTGCTTTACTCTCACCATGAAAGCGGAGACTTCTCCATAATTCAAGTTCCTGTCACTTTGCTGTGTTACTCATCTCCAGGCTGAACTATGCAGCTGTGGCTCTAAAAATACACAAAAGCACCAAAGAGTCTGAAGCAGGCTTGAGAAACAGATGAGTGAATAATTCCTGCTAATGCAGCTGGACCAGTGCATGGGAGATCACCACACAGCTTAGGGCCAGAAGGTTGCTGGGGCGAAATCCATACTTTGCTCTTTCATGTGTCACATTTTGAGCATAAAATAGAGCAATATTTTCATGAAAGGTTTTCTAGCTGCTTCAAATGGCATAGGTCATAGAGACTACACAAGAGAAAATGCAGATCATTTCACAGAAACTAAGCATTGGAGCAGGATGTTTCCTCTCAGTTTAGAATCTTCCAGATCACTGTGGGATGATGGGGACCTTGTAGATATGCCATCATGTCCTGCAGTGGCTACAGGGTTTCCCTCTTCCAAATTCAGGGTGTGAGCCATGGATATTGGATCCATATCTGAGCTCCCTAAACTGGTTTTATGAGCATCATGAAACATTCACAATCCCCACTCCCATTCACCTTGGTGCTTTGAATACAGGTATAAACAAACACATCTACTTGACAAATAGTTTTGAATCATATGTTTCTGAATACAATATCATAGATGGAAATATGTCCTTCTTTGTCTATTTGCTAATTTCTTTCCCCTTCACCCATCCATTTATCTAACCACCCACCCGTCAACTCAGCAGTTATTACCTTTTTCTTATATTTCTACCAGGAAAGTGCATCTCAGATTAATGTTTGTTGTGTATGGGAATAATTACCTTCTTTGGTATTTTTTCCTCCCAGGAAAAAGGATATGTGCAGGAGAGGGCCTGGCCCGCATGGAGCTGTTTCTTTTCCTGACCACTGTTCTACAAAACTTTAAGCTGAAGCCTTTGGTTCACCCAAAGGACATTGATACCACCCCAGTTGTCAATGGATTTGCCTCTGTACCACCCCCTTTCCAGCTCTGCTTCATTCCTGTCTAAAGAGATCAGATTACCTCGCTCCTGATGTATTGTCTTCTGCAATCACTTTTAGCCCATCATACATTTCCCTCACCATCAAGAAACTCATGTCCTTTATTCCTTCAAATGTTCTCAAACTCCTTAAAATTCAGGAAATACACATATTCCATTTTGTAGTATTTGGAGTCACTGGATATGCCATAAAAGTCTAGGCTTACAACCATATATATAAAAAAACTTTTCTTATAATAATTCACAGTAATGTATTTTCTGCATGTTCTTAATAAAAATATCTTTGAATTAGTATGACTTTGGTCAAATTCTCATTATAGTTAAGACTAGAAACAAAAGAAAATAAGTTTTTTTTTGTTTTTTGTTTTTTGAAAATAAGTTTTTAAAGTTCACATAATAAGAACAGGGCATGTAAAGAGTGAGTGCTGAGTAGAGAGCTTGATTTCTAAGGTCCTTGTCACTCAAGCCTGAAGACCCAAATTTCATCTCCAGTGTACATCTCAACATTTATACATGCGGCCTATACTAGTTACATCAGCATTTAGGAGGCAGAGACAAAAGGATCTCTTGGGCTTCCTGGTCATCCATCCTTGCTTAGTAGGCAAGCCTCGGGTCTCAGGGAGACACCCTGTGTCACAAAACAAGATGCACAATTCCTGAGAAACAGCACCCAAAGTTTACTTCTGGCCTTTACATTGATACATACCTCTTCTCAAGCATGTACCTAATTACTCACAGCTTATCTCCCACTTCCCCAACACAGGGAGAAGGTGGAGAGGAGGATGGAAGAAAGCTCTTTGGTTGAGTGTGAACTAGAGTCACTGCCAGCATTTGTATTTGAAACAGATAAGCAGTGAACAGAAGCATGAGCATAGTGCAGAGAAACAGAGTGATGAGAAGTCTCAGGGAGGAATAGACATGCAGGGATGTGGCTGTGCCCTGCTTTGCTGCCAGGAGCCCAGGAGCCTTTGGTGCAGAAAGGGCCTGTGGTAAGCAGGTGAGCTTTCTGGAGGCAGTCCATCATATATGCCCAGCTGACTAATGGGTTTGTCCTGGCGAGGCACAGCCCCAGGGACTTTGTCTCCAGGTTGTTTCCTGCCGCTCATATGCCTTTCCAAGCTTGACATTGTTGTATTTCTCATAGAAATGGCACAGAGAAATCCTCACTGCATGTGGTCTGCTGTAACTGTTTCCCTCTTTTGAGCAGATTTCCTGCAGAATAAATATGAATATGATTTTATAATTACTGATTACATTGTCCTGTGAGCTCCATGATCTGGGTCATGGCACTCTTTGCCTCCTGGAAGAGGCCTGCTGACCCCACAAATATCCAGGTTACACCACTACCCCCTATACCCTGCATGCCAAGACCCCTAAAACACAGTCAATAGAAGTAAACTACATCTGCTCACCTGTGCTACATCTTCTTGCCCACAACTCTACATGCACCTCCAATGGCCAGCCCACTCTAGGGACTACCAGATGCCTAAAGATCATTATAAGAGCATACTCAAGAAGAGCCAGACCAGGAGACAACTTCTTGAAGAGAACACCAACAGCACAGGCTCTAAGAGCAACAGTCAATAAATGGGATCTCATGAAATTGAAAAGCTTCCTTAAAGTCAAAGACACTGTTTTCAAAACAAAACAACAGCCTACAGACTGGGAAAGGATCTTCACCAACGCAATATCTGACAGAGGTCTAATATTCAGAATATATAAAGAACTCAAGAAGTTAAACAGCAACAAATCAAATAATCCAGTTAAAAAATGGGGTACAAAGTTAAAGAGAGAATTTTCTACAGAGAATTTTCTGTAGAAGAATATAAAATGGCAGAGAAACACTTAAAGAAATGCTAAATGTCCTTAGCCATCAGGGAGATGCAAATCAAAATGACCCTATGATTTCACCTTACACACATCAGAATGGCTAAGATCAAAAACTCAAGTGACAATACATGCTGGAGAGGATCTGGAGAAAGGGGAACCCTCTTTCATTGCTGGTAGAAATGTAAACTCGTATAACCACTTTGGAAACCAATCTGGCACTTTCTCAGATAATTAAGCATAGCTCTCCTTCAAGATCCAGCTATACGACTCCTATGCAAAATATGCTTAAGTACACAACAAGGACATTTGTTCAACCGTTTTTGAAGCAGCATTATTAGTAATAGCCAGAATCTGGAAACGATCCAGCTGTTCCTCAGTTGAAGAATGGATACAAAAATTGTGGTAATTTACGCAATGGAATACTACTCAGCAATTAAAAACAAGAAAATCGTGAAATACGCAGGCAAATGGTGGGATCTAGAAAAGATTGCCCTGAGTGAGCTATCCCAGAAGCAGAAAGACACACATGGTAAATACTCATTTATAAGTATACTCACTAGACCTCTAATATAGGATAAACATACTAAATCTGTACACCTAAAGAAGCTAAGCAAGAAGGAGTGATGATCAATCATCACTCAGAAAGACAAATGGGATGGACACTAGAAGAAGGAGAAAACAGAAAATAGGACAGGAATCTACCACAGAGGGCTTCTGAAAGACTCTACCTAGCAGTGAATCAAAGCAGATGCTGAGACTCATAACCAAACTTTGGGCAGAGTGCAGGGAATCTTAGGAAAGAAGGGGGAGATAGTAAGACCTGGAGAGGACAGGAGCTCCACAAGAAGAGCAACAGAATCAAAATATCAGCACTTTTCTGAGACTGATACTCCAACCAAGGTCCATTCATGGATATAAACTACAACCCCTGCTCAGATGTAGCCCATGGCAGCTCAGTGTTCTAGTGGGTTTCCTAGTAAGGGAAACAGGGACTGTCTCTGACATGAACTCAGTGGCAGGTTCTTTGAACCCCCACACACTCTGAGGGGGGAAGCAGCCTTGCTATGCCACAGAGGATAATGCAGCCAATCCTGAAGAGACATGATAAGATAGGGTCAGATGGAATGGGAGGAAGGCCTCCCCTATCAGTGAACTTGGAGAGGGAAATGGGAGATGAGAGAGAGAGGATGTTATTCAGAGGGAATGAGAGAAGGGGCTATAGCTGGGATACAATGTGAATAAACTATAATTAATATAAAAAGTAAAAATTTATATAATTTTTATATAAAATTATATAAAAAAGTAAAAAGAAAGACATCACCAGAGCCCAGATAATTACTAAAGGAGTGAAGGAAGCCATGGATATCCTTACAGAGAAAATGCAGAAGAAGACCTTAAATCTAATCTTATAAAGACCGAGGTCTTTAAAGAGAATATGAACAAATTCCTTAAATAAATACAGAAAAATACATTCAAACAGTTGAAGGAAATATAAAAATCTTCCCAATAATTGTAAAATGAAATAGAAAAAATTTTTTAAAAAAACCACAAAGAAAATCCTGAAAATGGAACACCCAGGAAAGGGAACAGAAACTATAGATATAAGCATCATCAAAAGAATACAAAAGATGGAAGAGAGAATCTCAGGTGTTGAAGATAAGATTGAGCAAACTGATACATCAGTCAAAGAAAATGTTAAATGAAAAAACGTTCCTGATGCAAAACATCCAACAAATCTGGGACACAATGAAATGATGAAACCTAAAAATAAT